CCTCCGCGAGCTCCGGCTCTGCCCCGGCTCCAGGGCACCTTTTCTCCTGCGAGGCGCGTCGGTGCTGGGCGGGTGGCCTTAGCCGCGTCTGGGAGGTGACCCTTCGGATTCAAGATCATCAACCAAAAAAAAAACTTTTCCCAAAAGAATTCGACTAAGCGAAACAGACTTCGAAATTATGGCAAGAGATGGGTTAATTTCAAAATGGAAGCAATGGAAAGCTTACGGCGAGCTCTGGAGGCCAGTGCGCTGCTCTTAACGCTGGAAAGGAAACCACAGCCACCGCGCAGAGAGCCCCACGGTTGCTGACTCCCCACCGTGACCATCATTTCCCCACTTAGCCTCCACACCTCCTCTCCAAACCTCCTTCAATGCCATTCCCTCCTAGTTCTAAAACCTCCTAGTTCAGATTAGGGCCTCCTGTGATTCAAAAAAGAGGTCTATTTTGTTCCTTTGTAACTCCTACCAGATTTAATTTTGTGTTCGTATTTGTGGTCATCGGCATATATATTATTTTTGGCCGTATTATGATCTCAATGAGGGAAGGAATTGTGTCCTCTTTCTTTTTTTCTTTTTTAAGGTTTCTATACCTATAAGCTAGCATAATGCCTGGCCCATGGAATCTGATTAATCAATCATTCTCAAGTGAGTGGATGAATTAAAGAGGGAATGAACACACACTGTGTACCAGGCACGGTGCCCGTGCGGAGATGTTACTCAGGGGTGGTAAACCTGTTTAGGAATTGTCATTTGCCAGTGGGCATTTACCTTGGGGCACAGACAGTTACAAAGTGAATATAAGAGAATATTTGTATATGTGGATTAGGTAGCGTTGAGAACTTTTGCTTGTGAGGCCAGAGGAAGGGGCTCCACGGAGGGAATATGAAAGTAAAAGGAGCAGATGAAGAACCGGGTTGATTTCCCCACAGGTAAAAAAGGTGTGTGAATCAGGCTGTTTGCTGTGATTACAGGATTCACTTCACAGTTTCCCCAGAGCCTTCCCGACAGTGTGGCCTCCCTCCTAGAGTTTTCTCCTTAGGTCTATCAGAACCCAACTGCAACTCCTAGGTTGTAGAATAAGCAGCCTGTTGGTAGGGCTCATGAAGAGGGCAAGGGGTAGATTCTCTTCAGTCCTACATGAGCCTCCTGTGAAGCCCTGGCCAAGGTGACCCTTGTGCACTGGCCACGTATCTCAGGCTGTCCACTGCTCAGTCCACAATGTCTGCAAGATTGTGAGAATGACTTGCTCTCGAAACAAACAAAACAACAAAATAAAATAACTGACCAATCTTTATTAAATAACAAGCAAGTAGTCTACACAGATACAGTCATTTGTCTGTCACACATGAGTGAACAATCACTCCGTGTAACCAGGTGTGAGCCAGGCGGCAGCCCATTTGAATGCCCTTAGTGACGCGAAGATGACTGGCAGGACGCACCGTGCACACTTGTGTTCTCTGTCACAGCATGTGCAGGAGAAAACAAACCCTTTTCATGCACAAAGACTTAGGTGAACAGTTATTAGCTTCACTTCAAATGCTCATAGTGTGTGTTCTACACACCTCTCCTAACAATTAAACCAGCTGTTACTCTTCAAAATATGTGTCACTTTCTTTGCATTTGGGTCAAACTCCAACTGTGTAGATCCACTGAAGAAATAGAAAAACCCTGAAAATACAGACAAGGGAAATAGTAAGAGTTTTCCAAATAAAGTCATTTGGCAACACTTAAAGCTCAAAATCATACAGAACTAAAAAGAGGAAGTGTTTATGGGGTTTTACTTTGTGCTGGGGCCTGTGAAGCATTTCGCATGCTTTATTTTCATTTATCTCCGCAATGGCCCTATCTAACTCCATTTTATAGATAAGCAAGTTGAAGTTTAGACAGATTTACAGCTTTGCCCAACGTTACTCACCAAGGTAGGATGGAGACGGCCCTTCACAGGAGCTCTGTCTGACAGCAGAGCTGTGTTTTGGGTTTTGAGGTTATTCTGCTTCCAATCAGATAAAATTCCCTGCTTGTCTGGAAACTATGATCACTTATTTCTTTCTTTCCAACACTCCTCTTCCCCTGTCCCCACATTGCAACCTGAGAAGCTCTGCAAATATGCCCCATTACCTTTTAGTAAAGCTCCCAAGCCTCCACTCGCCTATCCTTGAGTAGCAGAAAACATAAACCCTTTTTTTTTAAATTTTCAGTACACAACAAAGTAAGTTTTTGCAACTGACCACCAATACGGGCAATGACTGACTACTCCGGAAAGATGAGAAAATCTCCCTGGGAATTCATAGTAGCAATAAGAGGGCATGGAAGGAAAGACCAGTCAGCCAGTCTTACACCTGGCCAGGCCACTTGATGGGATTTTTATGCTAATAGTGTCATCTGTAAGGTAACAGCTCAAGAAGTGAGGAAGTGACACTTGGGCAATTTGGTTTTATGTGCACATATAAAATAAAGCGGAAAGATTTGTGTTAATTATCTTTATGATTCAAAATAACTTACTGTGTGAAGTAGTTACATGATCAATTCAAAAAAGTGGGTGAATCAAAATTTGGGGGAAGGAAATGGTTTGAAAAATTTAAAAAAAATCCCTGTTATTAAAACTCATTTTAATTCTCCTTTCCCCTCGGATGCCATGTTTCACAGCCAACAAAATAAGTATCCTCTTACCAAATTCTTCAAAAACAGCATCAACCTGTGAGTCGACCCCTGGGAAGTCTTCAGCTATTTGCTTGGGAAAACCTGACTCCATAGACTGTCTCTTCTCATCATATCTGTTCAAGTAAAAGAAACACAGCTCAGTAATACACAGGGGCCATGTAACCAGATTCATAATCACTCTGGGCTTAAGGTGGAATTCTGCAAATAAGTGTCAAGCACATTTAGGAGTACAGAAATGTGTGACTTTAATGGTTTTGCAAGCTTAGCCCACACCTCCATCAGGAACAGGGCCACATCCTGCCACAGGAGGAGCTTAAGAAACGCTTGTTACAAACCCCTGCTATGGCATGAGGTGCTTGTCAGCGTATTTCTTAAGCCTGGACAAAAAGAACCTTAATCATCTTTCTGTCACTGAGACGTATATAAATGTATATGTGTGGTTGTATATGTGTGTATGTGTGTGTATGTGTGTATGTATGTGCATATGTGTGTATATGCGTGTATATTTGTGTGTGTGTATGTATAAAGTAAATAAGTGAATTGAATTATTCAAATGAAATATGAATACAATTTCAAGTTCTCTACCACATTTGGCCCATGTATACCTTCTCTCCCTGCCCTGCTCAACTAAGTCTTCTCTGGCACCTCCTAGGAAAAGGATGAGAAGCAAAGCACAGTACATGTGTTTTGGATCCGTTGGCTGGAGGTCAGACAGTCAGGCTGGAGGTCTCCACGTTTGGGCAGCTGGCCCAGGAGTCAGCCTGTCTGTGAGTCCTGGGTTGGTTCCCTGAACTGTACTGCTGTGGCTATCGTCTCTCACCCGGACAGAAGCAGATAGAAGTGGTGAACAGGAGAGGTTAGAGGAAGCCCCTGAAGATCATGTGGTAATGTTAGGAAGACAAGGCAAACACGTGAGACCGGGAGCAGGGCTGTAAGGCAGCTGGGTTGTGGCTGGATTCTCAGGGCATCATCCTAGCTGGGTTTAGAGTCCAGGAGGGAAGGTTGCACGGAGGCCCCAGCCCAGAGCCAGGACTTGAGAAACGGGCAGGATTTGAGTAGATGGAGAAGGAAGGATGGGGCTCCAGGAAGGTGGGGAGACAGCAAGAGGGAAGCACCAGCCTGCAGGCGGGACTTGAAGTAGGAGAGTGTAAGAAACGCTTGTTACACACCCTGCTATGTTACAAACCCCTGCTGTGTATGGTCCAGAAGTTGTCCAAAAACGTTCTTCTTATTGTGAGGCCTAAGGAGGGGTGGTGGTGGTGGTGGATTTTTTTAGAAAAAGAAAATAATTTTCCTAGTTAGGCTCCTACAAAGTCTCTCCTATTGCATCTCACCTCCAGTATTTGTCCTCTACAAAGAAGTATGTTTTCTTCTTTTCCTTATCAGACATGGCTGCATCGATTTTCTTTACAGTTGGAGGAAAGCCCAGGGTATGGATGCCTCTTGGGTAGCCTGCTTGTACCTCATTTCCTCGGATGGCCCAGATCTGATTTCCTGTTAAAATCATATTGAATAACAGTTAAGCCTTTTAGCTTTAAAAATACATTTTGGCACCTTTGATTTTCATGGTGAAACAGCAGCCTGAATTTTAGATTTAGTCACCAGCTCATAGTCAACTTTTAGCAAAAAATTTACAGATTGAATAAATGAGCAAATTATCAAATGAGAGAATTTACAGCTCTGGGCAATTTGCCTTCCTGTCTTTATTTTTATCATCTGTAAAATATGAATTAAATAATGCCAGCTCTGGTTATTTCTTCATTACCTTTGGCTGTTTTAGCAGCCACATTTTGACATAGTAGAGAAAATTAAAATCCTGTTCACTTTTCTTGCCAAAGGGTTTATCTCAGCGAGTTAAAGAAATGATTATGTAATAGCTACCTTTAAAAAGGAAAACAGTATCCTTGCTGGTAACTTCATACGCAGCATCCAGGCCTGAAGGTAGAGACGGCCAGAATGAAGAGATCAAGTGAAATTCTGGCTTTAGTGTTCTGAAGGATTTGCGCCAAAAATGCCTAAAATATATGTAATTAGAGGATAAGAATCAACTCATTCTTAGTCTTCAAAAATGAACCTAACGATTTTAGGAAATGTAGAAAGGGCAGCCCCAGATGTGATAAGTAAGCTTAGAGGAAACGCTTTTTGTTTGAAATGTTGAAACATCTCTATCAAGTTTCCATGTGTTTCCTTTGTGTGAATTGTAAAGCAAAATGGTACATAGTAGGAAAATGAATTTTCAGTTCTGACCTGTCTTTAAAGAACAAGACTTCTCCCCTCAGGGTACTGACTGCGTCGAAGGACAAAGCGGGATCACACATGGCTGGTGTCTCAGGTTGCGGAGGGACAGATTCCGTGGGCACCGGGGTGTCATCAGAGGAGGCAGGGGGAGGTCCTAAAGGAAACAGATTCGGGGATGCAAACGTCAGGGAGGTGGGCTGTGTCCGGGAACGTATATGCTTTCCGATCGCTCTCAAGGTCCTTTGTGCTAAATTACAAATGTTCCACGTAGCACCTTAAGGCTTTCCTGCCGACCAGCCTTGCAAAGGCTACAATGCCGAATTTTTCCAGCGTTGCTCACCATAGAGGGACTGAATGCCGTCCACATCGTCTTGAGAAAGGCGGAACCGGGCCAGGTCTGTGAGTGAGTTGTAGACTGGGTACATCAGCGCTTCAGTGTTGGCCGAGTGGAAGAGACCCAGGGAGTGGCCAAGTTCATGAGCAGCAACCAGGAATAAATTGGTTCCTATTTACGAAATCATAAATCATAGAGGCTTATTTCTAAAATGCATGTGCATTACACAGGTCAGCTGCACATTCTGTTTACTTCTTGGAACCACATAGGGCTTTTTTTGCCTTGTTTGGTGGTTTAATTGAGCAATTGACTGATTAATTCTACATTTACTGGAAAGCTAAGTGTATTTCAATACATACTTGAAATCAGTCTTTGAGATAAAGTACTGAGTCACATCCACCTGCCCCTCTACCCCGGCCTCCGGGGCCTCTTAACCCTAACCCTTTTCCTGTCCTCAGAAATGGAAGAACCTGCTTGTTTAGCATATCAATGAAAAATTATCTTCATTTATCAATACAAAACTAAATGCTGTTTCAATATATTAACATTTGTCATCTGCAGTCTCAGTAGAATGAAGCCCTGCTCATCCTCATTCTGAAATCTTTAAACAACCACAGTCCCATTATTTTTTATTGGAATGTTGCCTTCATAATTGTTCAGCTTCAAGTATTTTGTGTCTTAAAAGATAAATTATTATTCATAGGATTTTAAAACATAACATGCCAAATCATGTCTAGCATTTGTCACAGGAGATTTTAGGCACACAAACACTAGCTATTTTAGACGTTTTTCTCTTCATATATTATTTTTTATAAAACCTGTAAGCTAAAAGGGGAAGCCAGTGGGTAATTACCAGCAACTTAACAAGTAAATCTACTTTACTTTTGCAAATATCACTTGTATAACTTGTGATTCTAGGAAGGTGCCTTTGTAAAAAGAGGTTATTAATTCAACCAAATTGAGAATTTTATCTAGCACTAAACTTACATTTGTACTTTCTACAGACACTTACATTTTTGTTATAAATCCCAGCTAAATCTCAGAAGTAGTATTATTTGTTTCAGCTATTTTTTTGAAAACTCTGGAAGTCATTCCCCAAAATACAAGGCTATGAACACAGAAATATTCTTCTTCCTAAGCAATTTGGACATTGTATTTTGGGGTCAATCCTTTCCTTTAAAACAAGTCCATAAAAATTCCTTTTAGCCTAGAGGTAGTAAAATACTCCATCAGAGAAAAACCAAAGACTTCAGTTTTTAAAATTTTCTGATTCCGATTTCTGTTTTGAAGAGTTTGGAAGTCAATGGAGAAAATTACGTAAGCAATATCCAGGATGCTTTTTAGTGTAGATTCAATGCAACACACTATTCTTTGGATATCTGCATTTTGTATAATGTGAAATTGTTCTTAGTAATGGTGGTCCTTAGATCACAGCAAAATCCACAGTCATTAAAGACATACTTAATGATATTTTTTATATTGTACTTACCAAGACGGGAAATAAAATTTTTATGCATCTGAAAATGTCTTCAATAATGATTGAAACAAAAATACATCCTGCTTACCCCTGATCCACTGGAAATTCTGAGCAATTTTGGTTATTGAGAGTTTTCTACATATAAAAGAAGTTAATCCCAGAACCATTCTGAGAGATGTCACCAACCTCGTGTGTCCTTGGTCCACTGTTCATCATCATCAAAGTGAGCATCTCCGTAAATCCCTGGCCCAGGCGGATAGGCGTGAGCCAAAGCTTTTCCAGGTCCATCAAAAGGGGAAAAGTCTCCATGTTCTAATAGAAAAAAAATATTTTTTATTGGAAAGATAGGCAATTAGGATTTCTCCTTGCTTTTTCCAATAAAACAATACCAGATAAGTGGATGCATTCCACGCTCATTATTTTTACCTCCAACTGCGAAAGAAATCATTATGTCCGCCTCTCCTTCATATACCCTGGAGAATGTGAGAGGAGTCACCTCCTCCCAGACTTTCAGAGCTCTTTCAATGGCAGAATCAACAGCGTCTCTTGGCAAATCTGGTGTATAATTCACAATCCTTGTGAGAGAAATTAAAGAAGATAGTATTTCCTCCAATGACACAGCTTACACAATCTCAGTCTCGGGTGGAAACTCTCTGGACTCCTTACCTGTAAGTCAGGTGGGTTTTCCTCCACTTCGGCATGCCGGGAAAGGTGCGGAAGTGCCCGACATCGGGGACCCCACACCTGGGCTTGTGCATCACCTCCAGGGTGCTGGAGTCCAGCTTCCCCGTCACCTCCAACCCAAGGAACTTCTGCATTTCTTGGATTTTTTTAACAACAGGGCCACTATCCCTCCTTCTGACAAACTGCTTCACATCTTTTGGGAGGTTGTAGTAGTTTTCTAGGTATTTCTAATAGAATAAGGATAGTTTTTAAGTCAATCTTACGATTTTTAGCCCTAACTACTTAAGTAAACTTGTGCAATTGTTCTCTTTTCTTAATCTATGGGAAGCATTTCTCTAGCTTCCTGAAATAGTAAATGTCCAGTTTCATTTAATTCTTTTAGGACAGCCTTCCTCTCACCACTGCTGTAACTTTGTAACCATCCCTGCAGCTTAGTGGGTACCAAAGCAGCAAAAGGCAAATGAAAATTTCAGGGACATATCCAGTGCTGTCCTTAAAGGAGAAAAACAAAATGAGCAAATAAGCCTCTCTGGGCATATTTCCAGTAAACTTATTCAATTTCATTAATTTTTACTTTATATTTCTCATGAGGGCCCAGCTTAAGAAAAAAATTGGACAAATTCCTTTGTCTAAATATGTCGCTAGCAATATAAATACTTAGGTAAAACTACATTGGATAAAATACCTAAGAAATGCTAACGTGTGACATGGTTCCTGCACTTTCCACTTGATATTCCTGTGCCTCGAGCCCCAGAGCTGCTGCCTGCTATGTGGTGTGTAGTCTTCAGAAAACACCTCATATTTCTGGCCTTTGTTTCTTCCTCCATAAAAAGGAAGGGCTCAAATGGTGTGAGGCTGAGACCCTTCCATGTCCATCACTACATCCCTGAACCGTTCCTGAAGAGGAAGCTCAGATCATTTCCATGTGGGTTTTGAGACACAGGAAGGGGTTGAGTTTACTGTGGAAGGCAGAGCTGGTCTCTCCACGGGGCCCTGTCACTGAATGGGAAGGCTGTGGCCATTCATTACCTGAACATGGTCCATGCTGGCGTCCTCGCCTCGGGCAGCTCCATCTAGTGGGTAGGCTGAGCACACAGCTACACACAGAGACAGCAGGACTGGAAGATGCTCCATCTCTGTGGCTTTGCAGAACTCTGTCTCTGTGCCTTGGCTGTTGCCTACCGCCTTGCAGGAACACCCTCTGGAGCCCAACTTTTATAGGGTGATAATGTTTATTTAGATCACTCGCAGCTTGACTCATCTCTGCCTTCATCCAAATGGCAGCAGGACCACTTCCAAAAATTCCGAATTCGAAGTAGGATTATACAACCTGCTTTACTAACTTCACTGAACCTTCCCAATTTTGCAAGGCTAAATGGGTGAGTAATCTCCAGGAAATGCTTCCTGTCTTGGTAGAAGAAAAAACTGGGGCATGTTCTTTTCACTCTGGAAAAGTTGACCAAAAGTCACTAGACAATTTACGTTTGTGTGTGTGAGAGAAGTGGGCTGACTTGGTAAAAATCAGAAGTGTGCAGAACTTTTCAAAGAGGTTTTATTTTAATAAAAACATATTTTTAAAATCAAATATAATAAGAATTATGTAAATGAAATGCATACATATATAGGTATAATCTATACTATGATGCACAGAAAACATATCTAAAAGAAAATTGGGTGGAAGAATTTTGAGTCTATGATTTAAAATACCTGCTATTGATTTCTGGCTGGATTTGCTGGTCCTTGAGAAGAGCTCATGGGCAGATTAGAACACAGTGGGCCTGTGAAAAAGAGGAAAGTGTATCCTCTTTGTGTTGGTTTTAATTCTTTGTCCAATTAATAATTAGTGATGTTCTGTAAATACTTATAGAATTGAAACGAATTACATGGCTATTGAACTGAAATTCTGTCTTTCTCTTCTATACTTTTCTTATTCTCTTTCAATCGCATTTCAAATTAGTTAAGTGCTTTGTAGTTGAAAAAAGAAAGCCAGCCTAAATGCTCTCCTCCTTGTGTTCCCGTCTGTCCTCTCTCTTTCCTTTTCTTTTCTTTGTCAGATAGAGAGTTGCTCACATCATTAATGTACAATAAATGCTTCTAAGGAAGACCTTAAACATTTTCAGAAGAAGAAATTCAGTAAATATTTGTCAAATCCTCTCATCACCTGCCACTGCCCATCTTGCGACACCCTTCCCTAACCACCACATTTTGTTTGTTCTTTTTTTTCTTTGATGGTTTACTTGATTATTTGTTTGCTAAAGGGCAGACGCTGGGGATGAGAACTAGGGGCAATGTCGAATAAAAGTGCTGTCTACTTAGTAGACCTTTAATAAGTGTGTGTTTTCTGTCTCCCATTTACATTCTGTTTGCATTTTCTTCTTTGTTCTGTGTGCGTGGGAGATTTTACCCAATGTGTATGCAGGATCTACTAGGATGCCTCTGGGGAGTAGGGTCCCTATTACCGGGATGCCCCTATAGATATCAAATGTAAGCTTCTATTTTTAGACTAAACTACATGTTAAAACTAGTGTCCTATGATTCTCCATTTCTTTGAGGAGAAAAGAAAAATTTGTGTCTTATCCTGATTGAAATAAGGGGAAAATACGGAGTGAGGATAAAGAGGCTGGAGGTCAGAGTGGCGACAGGGTTATGGATTCTGGGAAGGAGCAGAGGAGCCTGGCAGGTGAAACGTGAGACATTAAGAGCAGAAGAGCGGTGGCAGCCACAGTCACCATTTCCTTCTAGATTAAGATTCTCCTTTGTAAGTTTTCTTGAGAATTATAACTTACAAAAGGTATTTAAAGTTTAGAGAGAAGCCTGCTAGAGACCATGTTTCTTTTCCCAACTGTTGAGATGGAACTGGCGGAAATTTCAGCTATGTTATTCCCGAAATAAATACAGAATTCTGTTTGTGTAGAACTTTGTCATCTTTTGTAACAGCGTCAGTGACTTTCCTGAGAGGCTTCCCTGAGTTCCAGGGAGAGTCATTCCTTGTTCCTCAGTGGTGCCTCACACCTGTCCTGGTTCCCACATTTCTAGACTGACCCGTAGTGGAGTGTGTGTTTCCGTCCCCAAGGTCTGCTGGGCTTGTTCGGGGCACATGTCATGGCTCACTGAGGTCTGCATTCCTAGGATGTAGCGGGGTACTTGGCGTATATTAAGTACCCCCAAAATTGCTTAGGGAGATAACTAAGATGTCAATAAAGAGTATAAAGCTTCCAGAAAAAATCAAACAGGTGAATGAAAAGTCAAAAAATTCACCAATCATGTGGATGCGTCTAAGTTTCCAGATACTACATATAATGTTTACTAAATTCTCTAACCACTGAATTTTTAATGGTTTTTTCCATGAAGAAAGGTCTATTACCTTATGTCTCTCTAAAAAAGCCTTAGAATACTCAAACTGAAATTGTAGAGCCAGGAGGTTTCTGACTGTACATTCGTTTAATTGCACTTTGCAGATTACATTTTAAAAAGCAGCGCATTAATGAGAAGAAACAGAGAAACTGAAAGCAACTGAGTGAAAGATGAAGGGAGGGGAAGAGGAAAATAGGAAGGAGAGGAAGAAAGAGAATAAATACATCACAGGTAAAGAGGGGCTCCGAACAACAGAAAAAACAAGCATTTTCAGTACAGAAATGGAAACGTCTGATCCATAGAACAATAATTTGTTACCTGATCAAATATATATATAAGGGCCAGATAATAGCTGGTTTTATATTCTAACCTCCCAGGGATCAGAAGCCAGGAATTAAATTTATATTCCATCTAATTAATTTCATATTCAAAAGCTGGCAGTCATTCCGCATAACATTCGATTTGATCATTTTTACATTTGTCTTCTTTTTATCCTGCTTCTCCATGACTAAGCAGAGACAATAACATAAGACCCTTGCTACCTCCAGCTGATATCATCATTCTTTGAGCTATACATTCCTTTATTAAGTGTCTAAGCTGTAAGTACTTTAAGAAACCAAAATAAAAGTGTAGATTTGGGGATAAAATTTAAAAGATAAATTCAGAAAAACAAGGTCACCAAATTAGCTATGTAAAAACAAGAAAGAAGGAAGGAGGGAGCGAAGGAACAAAGGAAGGTGACAGTCTGGTAGAAGGGATGATCCCTCTATAATTAATTCTCTAAGAAATACAGTACAAAGCTGTACCGGAGCTAAGCAGAGGGCCTTCCTTCAGGTGTTCACTGTAGGAAAGACCCACAGATAAATCACCAGCTAATGTGAGCCTGCAACTATTTGGACATGGAGGGAAATTTATGAACAGAATAAACAACTAAGCAGAGGGTAGAAAGTTAGGGTCTGTGTGGAAGATGTCAAAGAGTTCATTTTTACTGAAGTAAAAGGTGTATGAAAGGATATAATAACAAAATGAAAAATAACATTGTGGATAGATAGGTGGGAGCCTAATCCTAGAGGCCGTCAGTCTGCAGCTAATGTGATTAGAGTTTATTCCATTGTTGGTGGGAAGCCATACCCCCACTAGATAAAGCTCCATGTATTTAAATAAAGCCTTACCTGTTTATTATAGAATATTTAAAATAGAAAAAATAGAAAAAAATAAATTATTTATAGGCTTGTCACAGTACAAAAACAGTATTAATGCTATTAACTATACACTTCCCTCTACTATTTTAAATCCTGTGTTTTTTTTATGTTATGCTGATCATGGGAATTTATAAAATTTCATATATTTTTTTCCCACAATTTTGAATCTCACCAGCCAGACAGAAATGCTAAGAGGCGACGTGTTCTGTTTAAATTACAAGATAAAACTTTCTGCTTATAGGCTTTTTCATGTCTTTTTTCCATAACTAAAATCAGACCATATATTCTGATTTTTATGCCTATTTGCCCAATAAAATTTCAAACATTATAGTTAGAAGGGGAACTAGAGTAGCAAAGAGGATTAGGGACAGGTAATTTCTGCACGTGGATGGCTCACTCTTTCCTCGTTTATAAAGCATAATGACTTAGATCACTCAACGTGAGTAGTAGAAATGTCGAAATTCATCATTCAAATTCCTTGGCAATGACAGTGGCTTTCATGTGTTTCCAGGAAACTGATTTTATGGAGGGAATAAGCATTTTGTAATAGTCTTGGTATAAATATTCCAACTGTGCAAAACATAATTAACATGAATTAACATTTTCAGTGGGACTCTAACAGGCAAGAGTACTGATTGTCAAGTTAAAAAGTGTTGTTTGAGAAATACTTTTTTGCATGTGAGGATTAGGATGGAAGCAGGAGGACAGGTTTGAGAAACACCCTGGACTAAGTTTAACTCCAGGCTACAAAATCCACCTGACAAGTCATCTTTCAAGCAGAAAATTGACTTTGTCAAACACATTGAGTAAAAGCAGCTCGATTAAAGCTTTTATAACCTTCCCTATGCATTCCAGAGTGGTTCATTTTAGTCATCTGGTAGTTGCATGCCCTTTTATTCCCCAAGGGTGATTCAGGAGTGAAATGTATTAATTCCAGCAAGTCTGCATATATCTTTTATTAACATCCCCTATGGGAGTATCTGATCTGGATACGAAAGTCTCAGGTCACTGTTTTGTTTTGTTTTTTCCTCTCTTTAAAATCAACACCTAGGCCAGACACAGTGGCTCATACTTGTAATCCCAACACTTTGAAGGCTGAGGCAGAAGGATTACTTAAGTCCAGGAGTTGGAGACCCGCTTGAGCAGTATAGCAAGACTCTGCCTCAGAAAAGAGAAGTTAGTTGGGTGTAGTGGCACATGCCTATAGTCCCTACTTGGGAGCCTGAGGCAAGAAGATTGCTGGAGCCCCAAATTCTGAGGTTGCAGTGAGCTATGATGATGCCACTGCACTCCAGTCCACACAGCACAGCAAGACCTTGTCTCAAAAAACACAAAAAACAAAATCAACACCTGTCCAGTAGAGATACAGAGTCAATGTTTTCTAGTTGATAGAAAAATGCTATCTATATTAGCCTCTGTGGGGAGCAAAATACCTTTCTAATTCTTTCAGATGACAATAGGTGCCTGAGATTTCATAAGGCAAACATAGACAGGCCTCTGCTTGTTTTTTTCCCCCATACAATTTCATTGTCCTTATAAAGAGTGAGAAAAAAATCATTGTAAAGCAAGCTTTCCTTTTCATTTTCTGTGATCTAGTGGAAGTTTGGGTGAGGCTGCCTCAGTGGCT